TAATCAAATCAAACAAGAAGAAACAAGGGCAATAAAAAATCTGCAACAAATTATGCTAAAAATAGAAGATGTTAATCATGTATTAGGATTCCGAGAAATGGAGACGAAGGTCCATAAAAGTGCCACCATAAAAATAGAAGATGTTAATCATGTATTATGTTCTATCTCATTCCTTCTAGTTATGTTTATTCTTGTTGTAGTATTCTTAATTATTTTGTGACTATTGCGTTGTTCATTTCTTTTTTGTGATATGTCACATTGAAGACAATTGGATTCTTGATCAACTTGGTTAATTGTTCGTTTATTTCATAGGAACATACTATATTTAGAATATGCATTTGATCAGTGGAACCTTTAATACTTTTACCTATGAATGTATTATTTTTTTTTGCCAAACCTCTCAAAGCATGTCTTTATAATATTGTAATTTATTTTTAAATTACAGATTTATAGTATTTGTGCAATTAAGATCATCATAAATTGGTTTAGAGTTATTTATTTCTTCTGGCTTGTCATTTGTGCAATTAAGATCATCATAGATTGCTTTAGAGGTATTGATTTTTTCTGGTTCTCTTCATTTACAGTTATTTGGTTTGGACTGACTGCGATTGTTATCAAGGAGTTAAATGCAATTAATTATGGTAAATTAAATGCATCACATACTTTACTTTAGATATCCAACGATTAGCTTAGGGTCCCACTATTCATCATATTTGGAATGACCAAAAAAGGTGTTCATTACAATAATATTAATGGGCTTAAATAAAAAATAAAAATAAAAAATTACAAACAAAACCCAAGCAGAAAACACCTCAAGAATATACCATTAATCCCGACTTTTCTCTTTTTCGTCATCTTCTCTCCCTCTCCAAATCCCAAAAACTCTGTCGCATTTTCTTATCGGAAGTCTCTCCCTCTCCTTCTCTCCCTAGCGAAATTTCCCCGAATCCACCTGAATTTCACGAACAGAGCTCAGAGGTGTGTATGTGTTTCTGTGTATCCATCGACCTTTCAAGTTGTTTTGGAGCCACTTTTATCGAGCTACATCTCTATTACTCTGAATCGGAAAGAATGATTAAAAAATCTTTGCTTTGTAGCTTAATTTCTTGCAAATTCTTGGTCGCCCTTGTTCTTCTTGTTTGATTTGATTAATTTAAGCAAACACTACAGATTTGTATCCATTTCTTTGAGTTTTAGATTTCCACAAACTATAACTAGGGTTTCACTTGGTGAATTTTTTATTTTATTTTATTTTACTTTTTTTGAAAGAAAACTCTTCCTCTTATACTTCATTTTATTTTCTACTTCTTTTAAAGTTTCTTCATTTTGATTTTGACTGTAACATACAAAGGGGTAAATATAATAAAGATCAGTAATTTTCATTAACAAAATAAGGGCTTTTTTTTTTTTTTTTCTCTCAAAACAAGTCCATTGTGGTATGAAATTTGGGCGCTCATTTCAATAACATCTATTTACACTTATAGGCCCCATATTGTTTGTATCCCAGCCTTTTATCAAAGGTTTGTATTTTTTTTTTTTTTTATATGTCATGCTACTGCATTCTTAGAACTTTTATGCCAGATTATATTATTCAATAGTCATTTCAATCTTTTTTACAAGATGTTGACGTTTGACTGCTTTTGCAATGCATAGAATATCACAACAGCCGATTTTTTGAATTACCTACCAATGGAGATCGTTCTTACAATCCTTTCGTTATTGACTGATCGCCTAGACTGATTTGAATATCTTCCGTTAGTGGCACCTTGTACCATTTTGGTGAGTTATTTAAATGCACACATTTATTTTTATTGAAGTTCTTAAAAAAATAAAGACAATACAAAGGCAATTGATCATTATACGTTACATACAGTGTGAAGCTTTACATTTATTTTTTCATTACCTACTCAATGTTTCTATCACCATTGACAAACTCTAGTGTAAATATTCGATTTTCGCATGATCACTAATTCTTCACATGAATGTTACATGATTTAGAATAGAATTAGAAAATACTGAAAAATGTGGCAAAGCATGACTGCCACGAATATTAAAATGAACAGTAAAATTACTATTGTTTAGATATATACAAAATTTATAGCCTATAGGCACTTTACTAGTTTCAGCGACAACATAATAAGATTTCTAATATTTTTATTGACCGTAACATACAAAGGGGTAAAGATCAGTAATTTCCACAAACACAACAAGGGTTTTTCTCAATACAGGTCCCTTGTGGTATGAAATTTGGCCATTCATTTCAATAACATCTATTTACACTTATAGGCCCCGTTATTGTCTGTATCGCAGCCTTTTATCAATGTTTTGTATCTCTTTTATTTATATGTCATGCTACTATATTCTCAGAAATTTTATTCCAGATTATCCAATAGTCACTTCAATCTTTCTTACAAGATGTTGACGTTGACTACTTTTGCAATCTATATAATATTACAATGGCAGATTTCTTGAATTATCTACCAATTGAGATTGTTCTTACACTACTAAAAAAACTGTTTTCTACTACGGACGGAAAATCGTAACAAAAAGCCATTTTTCGTGCAATTTGCGTATTTGCTATGCCTTTGTTACGACTTTTTTCCGTAATGTGTACTCGCGTAACAAATATTTTTTGCCACGCCATTTTTCGTAACTATTACTGTCGGTCAATGCTCCCTAATGCAGGATTTTTGTTACGCTGTTTGTTACGAATTTCCTCTCGTAACCAAATGTCGATCCTTCCGTGCGTGTGTCAGAGCTTTTAGTTACGATATTTGTTACGAAAGGTCGTCGCGTTACAAAAACGTTCCTGTGATCGCTTGTCATATTTGGTTTTTGTTACGAATATTTGTAACGACACTGAACCCGTAATAAAAAATATACTTTCCTATAGTCACGGAACAACCTGAAACAAAAAATATCCAAGGACCACTTTTTGTCACGGTATTTCATCCTTTTGTTACGCAGAAATATCATGCTATGAAAAATAGGTGTTACACTGCAATTAAAAATGTGTGGAACAAAATGACCTTCTGTGATCTCCCTAATACCGAAAGAAATTCCGTATACACATAATGCTATAAACATCATCATTGGCAATACATGCAAACATTAATTCATAGTAAAATCTGAATCCCAACATTAAGGCACATGGACACCACAGATTTTACTCGACAATCTCTATACCTAACAACGAAGTAAAGCAACCCATAAAACAAGCCTAGCAAGCACTACACAGCAACATCCTGTTCCGCAAAACGGGCTTAACAGTTCAAACACCAAACCTAACAATAAGCAAGTACGGATATCCATCAATCCATAACCACATCTTTCACCACACGAATTAAAACTCCAATGGTCTATGCATCAATTCCACATATCGTTCACACAGCCTCAACACAATCCATCCAAAAACAGGTACGACATACATTCCATAAGACAAACGGGGCAACTAACATGGGTGAATCGGTAGATACGCTTCAGGGGCGGCGCATGAGCTGCAATGGCCAACACAAAGATTAGTTTAAGTCGTATTTCTTATAAATTTTTCAAGACAATACAAGAAAAGTATAAAAGTAGATCCGTACATCCTTGTAGTTCCACTCAATAGGATCTTCACCAACGACATCGCGAAGGGTAGTCGCCCCAGCAATGGTCGACAAAATAAGGGGTGTGTCCGGGACTGAGGCGGATGTCACAAAGACCTTGACCAGGGAAAGTGTGTCACCTACAACATCTACAAGTGCAATTTTTGAGTATATTGAGCCATAGATATCAACAGACGTTCAAACTATATGTATAACATGCCATAACACAGACATTAGAAGTGTAAAGCTTTGCAACTAGAACAATACGAGTATGTATATTCAGATATGTCGTACAATACATGGTATTATATCCATGAATTAGGTACCAAAGCACATTATATATCCATGAATTACCAGTCTAGGCCCTCAAAGAGGCCCTCTCCCTTTATGGCGGAAGTTTTGAAGATAACCCATTACTGATTCTTAATTTTGTGCAACTCTAAGGCCTCAATTATCGAAGCATCATCCATTGCTCCAGGAAGATCCTGTAAGTCAGATAATGTTAAGCCATAAGAGAGTACACTTATCTAACTTGTGAGTGGATTAACAAGCAACTTCAACCGACACATAGAGTTAACAAGTATGCAAATGCATCAAGAAATTTCTGCTTATCGTATGTAAATTAAGTGCAATGTTAATGTTTATATATATATATAGCAGAAAGAATGGTATAAAATTCCACCTGCTTGTTAGCAAACAAGAGGACAACGGCGCCTTTTAGCTTTTCCTCCTGGCATGGGACCAATGTAATTCCATATAAGAAAGAGGAAAGTACAGTCAATCATTAACAAATATCATCAGGAGTTTAAACAAATAGTTGTAGGGAAAATTAAAACAGCTAGAAACAAGAACCATTTTTCATTTCTATTTAAGTTAAAAACAAAACTGCCAAGGCCTAAAATATAAAAAACCAAAGCTAAAGGTAAACAAACTGTTAAGTACTGGTTCAAGTTCCAGGGCCACCTAGGTAGGAACTTACTGTAAGAACACTCAGAGAACTTCAAAGGATCATGTGCAGCAAAATTATGCAAACAGTGGCCATTCAATATTTTACAAAAACTACTACAGTGTTTATTAAAAAATCATCACTCTAATTCTGATTATGTTCTTGAAATTTAAAGCTTCACAATTAATGAGAACATTGTTAACCTTTGACAACTAAAAGTACCATAATCGGGACAACATACCTGTTGAAGCCAAGCACAAGCAAGTTGTTTACCATGAATATGTGATGGTGACATATGAAATAAAAAATATTTTCATTACATTCTCAAGATCTGTCCAGTAACATAAAGTTTAGCTTATTTGATCTTCCATTAACCTTGGTGTAAAACGGAACAAGAACATCCTTTTTGAAATATATAGGTGATGAACTTTCTTCTGATAATACATAAATGGAAACATCACCTCCAATATTGCATGGAATTCTTCCTTGGCAACCACTAGCCTATCAGTATCACTTGAATCACTAACATATATTATCGCTTGAGTATTGGGAAAGTAGCACCTCCAGTATGGCCTAAACAACAAAGCAAAACATCTTAGCATCGATTCAAGGGATTAGGAAGTTCTAAAGAAAGCTGAGCTTGTTTTATAAGAAATAAAAAAGAAAAGATACCGGAAAATAAGACTATCATTTAGTATATGTGTATCATGTGGTTGGTTCAAAGATGAGTAAGGTCTATTGTAAGATGCACTCACTCACCACAACTCATGTTTTATATAGAAATAAGGATTCTCGCTGTAGCATCATCTAGTAATAAAAATATGTAGCACTTTGGCTATTAACAAAAAAATGTACCAGCAATCTATCCAGATTTGAAGGATTTGGCAAAGTGTTTTCTTAATTCAAAATTTCGACTTATCCACCTATGTATATATGAACACATTCAAGATAAACAATCATTGAAATTCAATAGTTAACCAAAGCTCCTAGTGAACAACCAATGTGTGTAATAATAGTAGCAAAAAAAAAAAAAAACTACTGCTAGACATTTTTACCACTTCCATTGAAAAATTAAAGTGAACTTGATGTTGTCAAGCACCACATAAAGTATTAAAAAATATACAAAAGAAAAAAGTTAAATTTTTTTTAAAAAAATAATAACAATAAAAGCAATTCCTACCTGAAAACATAATATTATTTTGACAATTTCACCTGGGTAAATTATTTATCCATGGCAGTAATTAACTAAATCTATCAATTCTTAAATACAGAATAAAAAATAAAACATTCTATTGAAAAGTAGAAAAGTATGAAAAAAAATCATTGGAGAGAGATTTTAACATGGATTTAGAACGAAGAAATGTCATTACTGCACAAATCCAATAGGCAATATTAGACAGTGTACAGACACATGTCAGTATTGTGTGATTGAAAAGAGAACCATTAAATTGGACAAATTAACTAAATAGACGATAGAAATAAAAATAACAAGTAATTACTTGGAACTTTTTTGAGTAATTAGTTACCTGATACTGGTCTGCCCACCTGCCACAACAAGGAGAACCACCAATGTTACGAATAAAAAACTTCGAAATGACTTCTTAGAAATGGTTGGAAGAAAAACTACTAAGTAATCACAAAACCACTAAGCATAAATGAAATTGTGATAACAAAGAGCATTCCCATGGTTATTTTCTTGAATGTTATTTTATGACTTCCACATGTTAAAGTTATAACTGTGTTTTGTAGTTGCATTAAGCTTAATGGCCTAGATGCCTAATTATACTCTAGAATCACGACCCACCCTCATAAGCAAATCGTATGTCTATAAAGTAAATCATAGCTTATAGAATCCTTCGGCTCCTTGATGGAAAGAATGAAAAAGAAAAAATAAGGAAGCAAATTTAAAACATTTACATTCCAATCATTTAGTTCATGAGACACGCCGAAACAAAACAATATTCCTCCCTCATTGGTGAAGTGATTATATATATTTAAAAAAAAAATCTTAGGCTAACTAGAAGGATACTGTTGACTTGTAGTCTACATTCTCTAATTCAGTTAAGATAAACCTACAATTATCTTTTATAATATATGGCAGCATTTGAAACCACAGCCAGTGGCAACATTTAATAGCTGATAGTTGTTACAAATTCATTCCATTGTGTATTAATGTGAATAATTCATCCATGGACATCATTTGTTTTCATGCTCTGGAGCTCTAATGAGAGTGAAAACCTAAAGCCAAGAAGTCCTTAGCTCCTTCTTTTCATAATTTCAACATAAATAACCAAGGGCGACACATGACACAATCAGTAACAACCAAACTCAGAAATTACAAATTAAAATGATGAACCCCATATGAAAATAAACAAATTCATGAGTCCAAGTCAAACAGCAAGGATCCTGAAAGCGAACAAACTTTGAAAACAATCCCAATTCTATTAAGGATGATAAACTCACCTAAATCCCAAACTTGGAACTTTATGTTGTTATATTGCACTGTTTCCACATTGAACCCAATAGCTGTAAAATGAAAAAGACATCTACTCATTAATCAAGTAAAGCAAAGTTTCCCTAATCCTATTTTCAGACTACACATTTCGCATATCACCATTTGTCATATTAAATTATGCCTATGAAATAGATGCAGCAAATTAATGAACTCAAGGAAGCAACCAAAACAAGCTCAAGAGAAGAGAATAACATAAAACAATTAGAAACAACGAAAATATCCAAAAATTAGCGCGTTAAATGTCAGTCAACCCACGTTCATAGAATAACAGTATCGAATTGCTTAAAGTAAGGATAACAAGGTAAGTACTTGGAATAGTAGACACTACTTCGCCCATCTGAAGTCGATCTGCGAAAACCAATAGCTAAAGAGAATTAATTAAAAGTCATCACCAAGGCAAGTAGGCAACCACAACAACGTAAATCGTATGAAGCGAAAAATGAGGCATACAAAGAATCGTGGTCTTTCCGGCATTGTCGAGGCCCAACACAAGAATCCGACCTTCCTTGTTCCCGAAGAGTGAAGAAAACAGCCTCGCGAAAATAATTCCCATCTCACCCTCAATCAATTTGAGAGTGAATACGATGAATTGAATCTAACTATGTTATAATATATAAAATAAACAAATAAAGGATCTGATCTGAGGCAAAGTATCAGCACCTCTTACCCTCCATTTCCTGCACAAATTTGAAATAAAAGACGACGACTCACTGTAACTGGAACAATGAGTATAATTGTAATGCAAAAATGAAGCCGATTGGCATTGTGACGAAATACCTGCAGACGGCAGCGAGCCAGGCTGGGTGCATCTCAGCTGTCAGCCCCGCGGCTGTGCGCGTTGTTATCTTTCCCTACTCATACCAGAGTTTCTTCGTCAGTCACGAAACAATATACTCTCATCACCCATCTTAAACAACAAGACAGAAACACAAACACTCATCACCCATCTTAAACAACAAGACAGAAACACAAACACAACCCATACTGATCCTAGGGTAGTGTCGAACAGGTGCAGGTTGAGATTCTTCCCTTTCAAACCAGCAGACCAAAAACCAAAATTCCAGAACCAAAATAATTATGTGATAAAATTACACCATTAATAAATCAAACTTCACAGGGCACTTAAACAATCTGCCTACTAGTTCTCTAACACAAGAATACGTTATCCTACCAACTAATCAAGTTCTGTTTATCACACACAAGCCATAAAATTCCCAATACCACCTGAGAAAGAAGAAGAATATTACGACGCCCTATATCGATTTCTCCTCACAGAGGACGCGACGAAGATCCGTGGATCGATCCTCATACTACTCGAGATAACTTAAAAACATTACCTGGACGCCGGTGCTGATTAACCTCCTCGATCCCACCTTCGCCCAGTACGTCGCGTCTTCTGATTGAGAAATTGCGTCGAAGAATGAGTTGTGCCCTAACTTTCTGAAATTCGCTAAGTGTGAAATCTATTCGGCACCGAGGAGGGGAAGAAGAAAGCCTGCGCGTGTGGGTATGAAATCGTTCTTAGTTTTCCAAAAGCGCTATAGCGTTTTTACCTTTTTTAAATCCAAAATATCTTTTAAATATAAAAAATAAATGTAAACACCATTTGTTACGAAGCACAATCGTAACTAATGTTATTTTGAACAGAGTCTACCAACTCCGTTTTTGTTACGGATTATTTTGCGTAATTAAAGAACCTGAAACGTTGACCAAGAAAATATATATTTGGTCACGGAAATTGTCGTAACAAAAACCATTATTTGTTACGATGTTATTATAACGAACCGTCGAGCCGTGGTGAAAGACCCTTTTTTTGGTAGTGTTACATTCCTCACGCTATTGATTGATCCCCTACACTGATTCGATTGTCTTCCGCTTGTCGCACCTGGTACCATTTCGGTGAGTTTTTTAAATGCACACATATATTGTTATTGAAGTTCTCATCAAATAGACTCGACAAAGACAATTGATCATTATATGTTGCATACGATCTTTGTCTACTAGTCTTATTGACTTCAGCAAGTGAGCACTTAATTTTGACATGTTGCATTTATGTAATTATCATATAGTGTGAAGTTATGACGGACTTAACCTTTACATTGTTTTTTCAACACCTACTCAATGTTTCTATAACCGTTTGAGGTACTCTAGTGTAAATATTCAATTTTCACATGATCATTAATTCTTCACATCAATATTACATGATTAAGAATATATTAGCAAATACTAAAACGAGAAATAGCAAAGCATGACTGCCACAAATACTAATATATTCATGCAGACTGAAATGCTAAACACTAGTACAAACAAAAATAGCAAAAACAAAAACGAGAAACACCTGGAGAAGATTCCGCTGCAATATCAGTTACCTCTTTTACTTGCATTCGACTTTGGCTTCCTACTGTCTGCACAGCAGGGCACACCCGATCGAAAAACAGAAACGCAAATTTCATCGACAAGAGCCATCAAACATAGGTAAAATCGAAGAGGAACCTGAACCTGAACCTGAGCATCCTTCCTAAGCAGGCGAAACCAGCAAGCCATTTCTTAACCCTTACCTTCCCCTCCAAACACTTTTTTCACCTCCAAAAACTTTGATCTCCAGCTCAAACCCCACCAAATTCATTGATTATGACCATATTTCGGTTTTGGTCATGTTTTGGAAAAAATTCGAAACACTTTATTCGTCTTAGCCCCTCTCCCTTCCACTCTCTTATTCTCACCGGAATAACTTTCAGAGCCCTCCTTCAAATCAACAATTTGTCAAAGGAAAGTTTGCAGCCGGTGCTGAAAGATTTTTGATTGATGATTAAAAAAGAAATTACAAAGCCTATTTATACACAATTTTTTCCTGGAGCTAATGTTTAGCCATGAATGTGTCTTAGACAAATCCAAAGTAATGACATGATATAGGCTAATTTCCTGCATGGGGTTACATTTTTGTAATTTATTTATTTATTTTAGAAAATGAATTACTATAGTCCTCCAACTTTTATTTTTTAGATCAAGTTTATTTCTGAACATGATCATGGATGTACTTTTTCGAGCTTCGTCTCCTTTTTTTTTTTTTTTGCTTTAGCTGAATGAATGATTAATTTATTCATCAATGTTTTCTAACTCAATTTCTTGCACATATTTGGCGGCATCGTGCTCTTCTTGTTTATTTGTGTTTGATTTGGGTAATCTAAGCAGGTATACATATGTGATCTTCTTTCTTTATCTCTTAGATTTTCAGAATTAAAACTTTTGTTTCAAGAAATGAAATGCTTATTTATTTACTTTTTTATACATATAAAAAAAAAGAAAAACCCATCTTCCTTTACCTAATATTATATTTTCTTTCTTTTCAAAGTTCTTTGATTTTCGTCAATGTTATTTTTTTATTATTATTTTTCAATATGTGATGTTTTGGAAGTTAAGTTTCACCCTTCGATCAACATAACTAAATTTATTTCTAAAACAATCATCAAATTTGATTTTTACCATTACGATATTTACACAATTGATTGATTGATTCCCCGGATACGATCGCAACGTCTTTCTTAGTCGCGCTTGGTTCAACGGCGGGGTTATCTTGACGTAGGTTTGCCTTGTTAGTTATTTAAATGCACTAATTTATTTTTATTACAGTTCCTATCAAATCCAATCATGGATTGTCTGGTAGCTTGTTGTCAAGTTTATTTATTTGTTTTTATTGATGTCATCAAGTGAAAATTTTACTTTTGCAGATTGTGTTATGTTGACCTCTTTGCGCTTATTTTTCACTCTAGGAATATAGTGTTTTGAAATAAAATAATTTTTAGCTACATAAGTATCTCCTTGATCTTAATCTTATGCATTGAGTAGATTTTTATTGTGTTGGTTGGAGTTATGTCTCACTTAACTTTCATATTTTGTTTTCTTTTTCCAACACCTACTCAATGTTTCAACAAATGTTTGATCAAATATTACATAGTTTGATAGTATTTTATTATTTGATGTAGTATAAACATTTGTTAACTTAGATTCGTAGTAAAGTGTAAAGGTTCAATTACACATGTTCATTAATTTTTCACAACCATGTTTTGGATATGTAAGTAATTGGGATATGCTTCGTTATCTTAAATTTTCACATAAATGTCCCGTGTGTAAGAATATAATAATAAAAAAAAACATACGAAAAAAATCTTATTATTTCATCAAAAGACATAAGTGATTTTGAAGCTTTTGCCATTGCTAAGTATTAAATTTACTAATACTCTATTATCTCCCAACATTGCGGCTATATTTTTTGAGGGAGCTTGCTTATATAGAAAGAGAAAAGGTTGTTGGTATTTACATTTTGATTTTATATAGTTACATATTTTGTTAAACATAGGAAACTACTTGATTATTTGATAGATGAACAACTAGGCCTGTTTGTATTTTATATTTATTTTTATTTATTATTTCTTGAAATAGTGTAACTGAAGAATTCGTTTTTTTAAAGGTTCAAAGTGAATGTTGTAATATATGTCCTTACATTCTGATATATCTTGCTTTTATTATTGAAGTATTACTATTATTATTATTATTATACATATTTTTTATAAATGTGATATAGTAATATAAATATATAATTAGATTCTTCTGCCGGAGGAACTCTATCTGTCCTACGTGATATATATATACATACTAGACATTTACATATTCTTTTCACTTATGAAATGTTATTTTGCTTTGGAAGGATTTCATCTTTCTTACATATTATATAACATAAGCGCTTATAGTGGGATGTTTGTCCTTTGGTATGTAGTATACTTTTTTGGGATCGGAGCCGATAAGTTTTTTGAATAAGTTTTCATGTGTATCATCATGTTGTCAGAAGCAACAAGTAATGGGTAAATTCTGGTACTCTAACATATTGAACGCAGTCTAAAGGAAATTAAAGATCCAAATGTCCATTTAACTTTTTCACGGCAGCTAAGGAGTGCGGATTTATTGCTAGTAATATGCATGGTGTCTTTTTTTCTTTTTAAGCATTTCACTATGTTTAACCCCTCTATTTTTTTATGTAGAATAATCATCAATCAATGGATAAGAGAAGGGAATTGCCATCTCCGTCAATGACCAATATGGACGACGGAAGGGCTGGTTCATTGAGCACTGGCAGAGTCCAAAGACATGACGAAAGACACATTTCTTTTGACGATAAGGTGCTAATAGATTAACAAAGTTTATAAAATGAGCTCAATGATTCAATTAGTTCGCACAATTAGACATTGAATGCCTTTTATGAACAATTTCTTCACTAAATATGCATTCCGATTCTTTTATTCGATACTCAAATTGAACTTTCATGGCCTACCGGTCGATGAAGAGCTTCAAACAGCTCAAACTGAAGGATGCCCGAAGCCCGAAAGCTACACGGATTTGCAAAAGTGGCGGGGATGGAGAAGATATGCCGTATTGGCTTAAGGAGATGACAAAGTTTATGACGGGGGCTAAAGCGAAGAAGCTGAAGCCTAAAAGATTTGACATCTCCAAAATCCTGAGGGAATCTATTCTCGGACAACCGTCTCGATCAATGCATACTGGAGAAGGGAGTGGGGCGGCAGATGCAGCTGAAGGCTACCCTCCTCTTCCAAAGAAGTTTCGGTTTGAGGACGATGTCATGCCACTCACAGAGGAGGGACAGAGACAAGCTGAGCGGGCGGAGGAGATGGAAGACTTGTTTGAAGAGTTCAACTTTAGTTGTGCTGTTGAGGAAATAGGAACGACTGCCAGCCGTGAGGTAAGTAAATCATTTCCAGCACTTGTGTAGAATAATTCAATATTCAAACACTAGACAAGAACTAATTTGACATGGATTGAGAACTAAAATAGGCACTATTATTATAATTATTCAGAAAGTGAAATGATAACTAATGATCAATTCATGGCCTGCAGGTTCTTGGAGTAGACGATGAGGAGGAGGAAGAGACTCGGGAGCGCAGGTGTGCTCGAGGGCTGCATGAATTGATATTAGAAGACGATCGAGGATGGTTTTGTATCTACTGTCAGCATGTGGCGATTCAACCGAAGGATGTAATTCCTCCATAGGTAAGTATATATCAATTTCTTCCTTAAATAACTGAAATCAGAAAACCATCCGACTATGGGGAACATAAAAATTGTTCCTTTTAATTAATTATCCACCATCCCTAATTCTATACTAATTTGTTATCTGAACGGAGGTCAGTGCAATTTTAGGTTGATTTAAAATTTGTGCAGCTACCCTTATTTATACCACTTCTTCTTCTTTCTTTCGCAGGCGATCAAAGCTCGTAATGCTTCCGGAAAGAAGAAGCAGGAGAAATGGAAGGGTCTGGATCTTAGCGCCGTTAATCTCCCAGAAGCTGATGCAGCGGATATAAGCAGCTGGACTAGCGGCTCAGTGTTGAGCATCAAGGCTGGTGAGCGGAAAGTATGTACGAACACCAGCAAGAAGGATTTGAGTTCCTCTGGAGGAACTTGGCAGGCAGTACCGATA